CTCCCCCATTTGACGCGAACACATTGCGGCCGCAAGACCTGTACGACCTCCACTGGCCCCTGCCACGGCCGTACCAATTTTGACGAGGTTGCCAGCGGCACCTGGGGACAGTGCAACCACGCCCTGTCCCCTGGTTTCCATTTTACCACCTGTACCCGCCCCAACCGAAGCCTCTCGTTCGCCCTCTGGCGGAGTTCATAATTTTGCGCGGCCGCTTCCCGCGCCTCAGACAATTTGCTGATGTTAAATTTAACGTGTTCGGACAAGTTAGACTTCGCCTGGGGCGCCGAGAGCTTCAGCTGGGTCGTCACAGGGGGGTTAGCCTCGCGCCCATACATTAAAAAGAAAGGGGAAAATCCGGTGGCCGCATGGGGAGCCATTCTGTAGGCCTGCAACACACCGGCTATACGAAGGTCCCAATCCGTCTGGGATACTGACACCTGCTGGGACAGCATAGACGTGATGGTCCGATGCAGCCGTTCCACCATCCCGTCAGTTTGTGGGTGATACGGAGAGGTCCGAACCTTCTCCGTACCCAAGAGGTCGCACACCTCGCGTAGGAGTTTACCAGAAAAATTCCTACCCTGGTCAGTAAGCAGCCGTTCCGGAGCACCCTTGTCGAGGACATAGCCCTGGACAAAGGCCTCCGCGATGGCTGCTGCCGACTGGTTGGCCAGGGGCCAGGCCATAGGCCATCTCGTGAAGTACTCGACCCCCGTTAATAAATACCTATTGCCCCTGGGCGTAGCGGGAAATGGGCCGAGTATGTCTAGAGCAACGAGCTCGTTAACCCGGGAAACCCTTATGGACTGCAGCGGAGGGTTGGACCCCCTAGCAGGTGGCTTCCTCTGCGCGCATTGCGTGCACGACCCCAGGAGATCCCCCACGTCCTTTGCCATGCCCGGCCAGAAGAAATCGAGCTGGAGCGTGGCAAAGGTCTTGTGAACCCCCAAGTGCAGAAGCCGCTCGTGAACAGCGCATACCACCTTACCCCTTAATGCTGCAGGCACGACGAGCCGCTGGCGGCGGGTTTTTCCATCCCAGTGCATTAAAAGACCCTGGAACAACCCCCACGAGTCAACGTTCGCCACCCCCTGACCAGCCCCCCCGACGCGACGGCGCAGAGCGAGGAGGGAGGTGTCCTCCATTTGGAGGCGTCCCCATTCCGCGACCGACAACCCCAGCAACGAATCCCTCCCTTCTTGCTCGATAGGACCCGAAGCCGAAGGCGCATCAGCAGCGGCCACGAGGACCGAATCGGTGGTGACGTTCGGGGGCCTACAACGCCCCGAACCCAAGAGGCACGCGCACTCCGAAGTGGGTGGCAATCGCGACAGGGCGTCAGCGTTCGTGTGGCGGACACCCTTACGATATGTGGTGACAAAGTCATAGTCTTGGAGAATCTCCAACCATCGAGACAACTGGCCCGATGGTTGTTGAACCCACAGGGCGTACTGTAGGGCCGCATGATCTGTACGGACGGTGAACCGCCGACTGTACAGATACGGGCGGTACTGCTGAATGAAATAAACAATCGCCAATAATTCCCGACGGGTAACGCAGTACCGCTGTTCGGCTGGAGACAGTACCCGACTACCGTAAGCCACCACATGCTCTACGCCCCCAATGAGCTGGGACAGCACGCCCCCGATGCCCGTGTTACTTGCATCTGTATCGAGCAAGAAGGGTTGTGAAAAATCGGGGTAATTCAACGGCGGAGCCCCCACCAAAGCATTCCGGAGGGCGCGAAAAGCAGCCTCCTCCTCCGGCCCCCAATGAAACCTGACTCCCTTGGACGTCAAGGCATGCAATGGTTTCGCAATCGTAGCGAAGTCAGCCACAAACCGTCGATAATACGACGCGAACCCAATGAAACTCCTGACCTCTCCCACCGAGGTGGGAGTCGGCCAGGAGCTGACGCATTCCGTTTTGGCGGGATCAGTGGATATCCCCGAGCGCCCAACAATGTGACCCAAATACCGCACCGATTCGCGGAGTAAATGGCACTTCTGTGGTTTAAATTTCAAATTGGCAGCCCGCATTTTGAGAAAAACAGCACACAACCTCTGGAGGTGTTCCTCGAAGGATTTGCTAAAGACGATGACATCGTCCAAGTAAATCAAACACGAATCCCATTGCAAGCCTGCCAAGACCAATTCCATTAACCGCTGAAAAGTTGCCGGCGCAGAATGTAAACCCATCGGCAAGCGGTTAAATTGGAAGAGACCTTGCGGTGTACGAAAAGCAGTCTTAGGTTTTGATTCGTCATCCAGAGGAAGCTGCCAGAATCCAGATAGCAAATCGAGGGTGGAAAAGAATCGCGCCCCCGCCAAGGCATCGAGCGACTCATCCATTCGAGGAAGCGGGTACGCATCTGCCACAGAGATTTTGTTCAGACGCCGAAAGTCGACACAAAACCGCAGTGAGCCGTCGTGTTTTTTCACCAAAACGATCAGCGCGCCCCACGGGCTGTTGGAAGGGGAAATGATATCGGCGGCTAGCATGTCATCAACAGCCGATTTGACATGATCCTTTTCGGCGGGACTCAACCGAAAGGGATTTTGGCGGATTGGCGCGCTGTCACCCGTGTCAATATGGTGTCGCAGCAATTTAGTACAACCAATATCAAATTTGTGTTGACTAAAAACGTCAGCAAATTCGCTCAGGAGAACTCGCAGCTGCGCGCGCTGCGAGTCGGACCCGCGCAAAGCGCATCCAGCCATCCGTCATCACAGTCCGAATGCGGTCGCGACGGAGGATCGGTGGATACCTGACCCACGAGTGGTTCCTCATAGGGTACCGGCGTTGCGTGTGCAAGCACAGTCCCTTGAGGAACCACGGCCGTTCGCGATCCTACATTAAGGACTGCAATGAACGGGTCCCCATCCCCACTCACCATGGTCTGAGCCGCGAGCAAATCGGGTCCATTGACCCCGGCCCGAGATGGTCCCAACAAGACCCCCCGATCCGCAACCCCTTCATTAAACGGCCGACGCAACCTAAGAGGGACGAGCATCTGAGCCCCCGGAGGTACGCGCACAGTTTTTGTCACGAGCGCCTGCACGGTGGCAAACGCCCGACGCTCCGTGGTGGGGGAAGACAAAAATGTAACGCGTCGGCCCGATGGGAGCTCAATGCACCCCTGGTCAATCAGGATATACGGATGGGCATTTTGGCCAAGAAATCCGTCCCCAACAGGCACGGAACCGCGAGTGAGGAGGAAACCAAAACAGGCCCGGATAATTTAATGTCTCCAATGCAAATAGTGGCGCGGATTTGCCCAATAATGCCCAGCGAGCCCCCGTTAGCAGCATAGCATGGCACGTCAACAGGGAGCAAGGGACGACTTTGAACGGGAAGGATGTTATAAATCAAATCAGATATAATGGTCGCCGATGCCCGTGTCAATTAAAATCCGCACCTCTACCCCATCAATATGACCGACCACAACCGATGATCCCGCCGACGCAGCAACGACACGATGGGCGAGCTCCGACCACTGACCCGGTTGGAGCGCTCGCCGCATTACAGAACAATCGCGCGCGACGGACGGTGAATTTGGAGCCCTGTTTAGTTGAGCGCGTGAGTGTGTGTCGGATGTGTGCGTGGGCCAAACGTGTGAGGTGCCACGACTCGCCGTATTTTTCTGCTGGAGCTTGGGAGGAGACGGCGTGGCGTCCTGACGAGGTGTCGCCCCGCGCTGACGGGGAGCCCGGCATCCTGACGCAACGTGGCCTTGCAGGCCACAGTTGTAGCAGCGTGTGAGTGCCCCAGATGTCCTGGGCTGCTCCTGGCGGCTCGGTCCATTCCGAGCCTGTGGTGCCGCCGATCTCCATTCCCCTCGCCGCTCCACCCCGCAGACCTCCTCCGATGGGAGGGCGGTGGCCGCCATGGCATGGCCGGCCGCCCCCTTTGCCGCCTTTCGACGTAGGGACCGCAAGCCCCCGTGGATGTGGCGCGCGACCAGCAGGGACGACATCTCCGCGTCGTCTTGAGCCAGGACGTTGACGTCCAGCTCATCAGCGAGTAGCAGCAGCTTCTCAGCCACCATGGCATCCACTCCTTCCTCGTCCATCCTTGGAAAAGCAGCCTTCGCCAGGGCCAGGAGAGCCGTCCAGAAGGCCAAGGGCGATTCGTTGGCGCCCCGATGCCGATCGTGGAACAGCTGCCTGCAGTCCGAAGGCGGCCCATAGACGGCTGACAGCAGCTGCAACGCCAGGTGTAGAGTGGCGCGCTTTTCCCTAGGCGCCGAGGTGAGGGTAGCCAGGGCGTCGTTGTCCAGCATCGCCGGCAGCGCGCGTAGAGCCTCGGCGTCCATCCAGTTCGCCATCTCTTGATGAACGATGAACCGCCTCTTGAAGCCGCCCCAGTCTCCGTCTGCGCCTACGAATTATTTTAGAGGCGGCAGACGCTGCTGTAAGGCGACGTCCGTGGCTGCAGATCGCTCTCCGTCGCTCCCCGCCGATGATACAGTGTGGGCGGGTTGTGAGCATGGCATCGCCGGTCGCTCTGATGTTGACGCGCTGGCCGGTGTTGATGATGTCACGGCTTGTGCTTGGCGCTCAGCAGTCACGTGACGCGGGCCGGCCCCGCCCTCCGCTCGCACTGTAGTGATGGCGGGAAATTTAACCGCGAGCCGCGTCGGGGTGGCGGGAAACGTTGCCGCGCGTCGGCTGCCGTCGTCGACCCGCGCTGCCCCTCCAGCCCCCAGCCGTGTGATCTCCTCCAACGCGGCGACTGCGGCGTAGAGCAGTTCCGCCAGGCGGGAGTGGGCCAGCCGGAGTCCTTCGGCCGACGCATCCCCCCCCTCTTGTCGTAGCGGCGCGGGCGTACTCGGCCCCGGCTGCTCCGATCCGACCCCGGCCATCTCTGGTGGTGATTCGGCCGCGGCGTCTTCCATCTCCGACTCCCTGGTACGTGTCGTCCCTCGTGTGTCCATCGTTGGACGTTTTACTTCTGACACCAGATGTAGTAAGTATATGGGAGGCTTGACGACAGGATCGGAGGCACACTTGTTTATTACACCAACACAGTAATTACAGGTCACTTGGCTACAGGGATTGCACGACAGCTAACCCCTCTAACCTATGCCAATTCCTCCACTACGGGGCTAGGGGAGGCTATCTGTCCCAGCCTGGTTAAGCTGGGATCCCGGCACCCTGAGTCACCAGACCAGCTTAGTCTGGGCTCTCGGGGCCACGCCACCGGCTTGCCCTGGTCGGCCCTTATAAGGACAGCGAGCCAGGGGAGCTCTGGGGCCTATTCTAGCAGGTCTTCCTTCTTCTCTGGTTAAAGCTGAGCCCCCGACCTCGAGCCCTCGAGCTCATCACCTTTTATAGGACTCGCCCCCGAGGGGGGGCCCGTGGAGGATGCACATGCGGACGTCGGTGCGAGCGCCACCCTTGTGTACGGCCGTAACCCCGCCCCTTGTGTTTGTTGGACATCCGTGGCCATGCATAATCACACCCCAACATCCGTAGCCATGCGCAATTACACCTCTACAATTGTGTGGCCAGGTCGCCTCTGAAAAAGAGCTCATAGTTTCGTGGGCTCTACCTGGTAAATAATCTCGTTATTTAGGTAAAAAAATTACGTGAATAAACATTACGTTCCTTGCAAATAAAAAAAGGACATGGGGCAGTTATTAATCTTGTCCTGGAACATAAAAGTCTGAGAAACTTAGTGTAGTAAATATTTATTTTACATCAACATATGAAATGGATTTAGGACCAGTCAACATTGTTTAAGAATATAATAAAAATACAAATAAGTTTACATTCGCCACTATATTCTACACCCTTTTTAACGCTGATTTTAAGTTACCAGAACAGGATATCCTGTTATTAAAGTCTGTGACGTTTTTGGTATATATTTTGCAATGTTTTGACTGGTGCTTTAAAATATGTAATTCTTAATAAAATAATTTAGAAGTATATTTGCACCCAAATCATCTTTTTTTAATCATGGGAAAAATAAACAAAAATAATTAATTATGCATTTCAACACATTTACATCACAGAGATTCAAATGAAAAGTTCAACACCTCTCAAACACAGGGATCTTCTGTAGGAACTCAGCCTTCCTTCCAAATACAGTCATGATTCACGCATGGTTTTTTGGGTTAGGTCGTGTCGGTATGTTAGAGCCCTCCTCCACCTGACAGCCACCGAGACGGTGTAGCTCTGCCATCATACCTGCACGACCGAACACGTAAAATATTTTTATGAATCATTGGTCATGATAGCCGACATATAAAAAAATGAAGCCATTAGTCATGCTGGACAAAGATCTCAATGCAAAACCCTCCTGAAACTCGGTGAATTCCACCAAGACAAACTTTTAAAGATAATACCCAATGCAATGCTATCCACCGCACACACAACGCAGGTTGTTCCTGATTAAAGTTATTCTTCACTTTTTTACCCAGGAGAGCTTGGGTCTCAAGACGTTTTCATGAGGGTCCTGCCAAGTTTTCACAGTAGGAGGCGATAATGCTACGTGCAATTCCAATCGATACATTTTCAGGTATTTTTCAGCATTGATACGTTTGGGCAATCCAGTTACATTGTATGTAATTATAGCTATGGGCGGAAACCCATGCAGAACAGAGGGAGAACAAACTCCATATGGCAAGGCACCCGAGTAAGGAATCAAATCCCGGGCCATTGCTGTGAGGCACGAGTGTTACCAATGCGCCACCACCCTCCTGCCCATTTCAGAATTGCCATAGCAGAGTGCAGATGAGTGGGTGTGAAAGGACAAAAGGCATTACATTTGTGAAAAATGCCCGTTGGCCATGTAATAAGTATACATGCTGCAGCAAAGCTGTGTCTAAGAACTGTCTGCAGACATCCAGGAACTTGTTATCCAAAGGCTAAAGATGGCAGTCTAAGGTGGTGGCTACATTAAAAATAATGCCTCAAAAGTTTAGCAGTTGCTGCACAGTACAGCATTTCATTAGGTTTTTTATTGAAATTGCTCCTTGATGCCGTGCATGCAGAATTCTCTACTTTAGAATATGCTCAAGACGCGCCATCAAGTGCACTCGCTTTACAACGGAATGATTTGTAAAAGCACGAGGGGATACACAAGTGCCATTTATTGAGTGAGAAAAATAGACCACGTGAGAATAAAATCTATCGTTCAGGAGATAATTACTTTAATATAGAATTGGCTTGAGGGCAATGAGCAGCGTAGTAGCCACTGCAACTTAAAGAGGCACGATCCATTGGATCATTCATAAAATTATAGCTGGATGAGTTCCTTCATAAAAAGGCATCCTGCAAACCATGGATAGATAATGCAAAAGACTTGCAGGAAACATGGAATACATTCAAGACGGGAAGAAATAAGATATTTTTCCCTTTAATATGAACTTTTACATTTGAGTGATGAGACTACGTTATCCAAGGCATAGTCTGCATCAAGAGGGGGAATGTCTTAACACAAAGGTGACTAATCCAAGACTGGCTTTATACACTCAGTTCGGAATTTTCATCTTGCTGCCAAGTGAAAAAGCACTTCATAGGTCATTGCATTCCTCCAGTATAAATCAAAATTCTGATTCTGAAAGTCGTGGTTCACGGTGTGGTGATGAAGCACCGTTATCAGCATCATTCTCCCAGTCTGCCACCCACAGGTGAATCCTATTGTAAATGCTCCAGCTCATGAGTCGCTCTGCGCATTATCCAATTGCCAGTGGTGCCGCCGACAGACTTGATGCCAGTGACCTGCCTCATTTCCAAATACAACCACATTCGTCGTAAACGTCCAATCATAAAACGGATCGGATCTGGCACGATGCGCTTCAAGCCACGGGTCACGGGAAGAGCCGCAGCACGAATTCCGGGGCCCACTCCAGCGCGGTGTTCATCGCGGCGATGGCGGCGGCACCCAGCGTGGCTGTGAGACCCCACACGGCCAGCTTGAGCATGCGACTCGGGCCCTGGACAACGGCGGCCACGGGGCCCACGCCCCCCCCCTCCGCTCCCCCCGCAGGTGACGCCGCAGCCCTGCGATGGCGCAGCACATTGTCCGGCCGCTGCTGCGTGGAGGCCAGCTCAAAGTCCTTGAACGTGGAAATGGCAGTGCTGCCGGAGATGGGAGAGAATAACGAAGTTAGCATTAATAAAGGGTTTTCCACAGAATGCACACTGTGGCACATTGGTTGGTGGCTGACAAGACGGTGGGTGGTTGTCACTCATCTCCCAGTATTTGTAGGTCACCATCTGACTTTTGTAGTTGTACGGCATGTACTTGGGCCTGCATTGTTAGACGTGTCTCGGCTTAGCTCTAAAATAGATTGAGCCACTCAATTTGTTTTCAAAGTCTGTGCTTGTGGTTTTCCCACCTGATGCCGATTGCTTGTGTTGCAATCGAAACGTCGTGATTTAATTAATTTTATTTTCTACCTACGCGACTTTACCGAAAGAGCCAAAGAGTATAGATCTCAGCAGTCACGAAAACTTCAAATCTTAAATACTGTTTTGTCTGCCTCAGCAGCAGACCATGCTTTCCCACCTGATGACGGACTCTTGTGTTGCGCCCGAAACGTCGCGATTTATTTTATTTTATACCTACGTGACTTTACCGAACGAACCAAAGAGTATGAGACATGATGCCATTATCTTACTACGTGTTAAGTGCCCAGAGACACCTCAGCGTAAAGGAGGGTGGTTCTATCAAAAACAACTTATAATGATTATTTTTACCTCTGGTGGAACTGCAGTGATGCCTCCTTGGCCAGTTCTGATGGTGGAAACTGTACGAAGAGGTCGCCGGCGCGGGAGATCAGAGTCTCGTACGGGAGGTCTTGTGGGATCTGTGAGAGCAGGTGGTGTACACTGGGCATGTCGCAGTCACTCGCCAGCACCTCCTCTTCTCGGTGCAACACTATCTACGCACGCACAGGCACACAGACACCCGTATTCTGAGTCGCGGCTCAGCTCTGGCTTGGCCTCTAACATTCAAGCTCAGTTCCGGCTTGAGCTGCACGGTTTGTTTCAAAGATGATATAAGTGGCTCAGCCATGGCTCGGCTCAGGCTCAGCGCCATGGAAAGCGTGGCTGGGACCATGATCAGAGCCGGCTCAAGTGAATCACACCTTTGAGCCAGCTCGCATGAGGCAGAGCCAAGCCTGAGCCGAGCCGTGACTAATACAGGAAGAATATTCACTGTTGGAATCATTTGACTCATGGAAGGTGCTTTCTAAAGGCAGCACTGCAAGAGCGGTTATGCTGATAACATGCATGCCAGGCAACATGTCTCCCCCGCTTCGCTGCAGGTAAACGGCCTAAGGGCTCAGGGTTCAGTGGCTCATTTAGACTGCTCACCCCTACATGTGGGTAAGGGCAGCGTGATAAAAAAAAAGGATGCACACTAGTGTCGATTTGTTCAGAGTAGCACTTAAGGAAATATTGGCTTTAGCAATGAGAAATGAAACGAGAGGAGTCATACATGGGAGGGCACCAAATACCCTGAGTTTAGTGACCTTGAGCACTCCCCAATGTGGAACTGAGCTTAATAATAAATAAATACATAAAATCCTTATTATAATTCACGTGCTTATTCCACTCATGCTTGCAATGTGATTTGTTTACCCAGGAAAGGCTCATTGAGCTCACCGAGCCTCAACTCCTTTTCAGGAGGGTCCTGCCAAGTTTTTGGAGTAGGGGGCAATATTGTTGCACTATGAAATTCCAATTGCATAATTTACAGGTAATATTTAATCTCTGTGTGTCTCTCCCCCATGTGTGTCTCTCTCTGTGTTTGTCTCTCTCTGTGTATGTCTCTCTCTCTGTATATGTGTCTTTTTCCGAGGCTTGCATTCATTTATACCTGATTACGGTTGCTTGTGTTGCAATCGAAACGTCGTATTCTATTATTTATTTTATTTCTACGTGACTTGACCGAAAGAACTAAAGAGTAATATTTCATCACTGGGATGTCTGACCAATACCGGTTAAAATGTATGTTTTTTTAGATATGGGAGGAAACCACAGAACCCAAAGGAAATTCATGCAGAACATGGGGAGAAACTACAAACTCTACACAGCAAGGTGCCCAATTCAGGAATCTAACCCAGGTCCTTCTTGGTGTGAGGCAAGAGTGTTACCACTGCGCCACCCTGCCGTCCATGTTGAGAGAGGCCATGGCCCGCTCACCACGGCGGCGAAGTAGATGGGCATGAGTGGGTGGCAGGCGAGGAAGAAGTCGTAGAGCCGCACGACGTGGCGGAAGTCGGAGAGCACATGGCCGTACCAAGTGATGAGCCAACTCAGCGCAAATATGGTTCCCACCTCTGCGCTGCTCACACAGACGCAGCATCCAAAGCTGTGGCGTCACTATACGCCGTCAGTTAGGACAAGTCTGTGTCTTACTGCCACAATGTGGTCAAATTATTACGTGGCATAACCCAAAAATCAATGATGAATGAATCGAAGTGGAAGTCAAGCAATACAAAATGTTGCAGAGATTAAATAGGAGAAAACGCATTTAAACATTAAACAGCACCAGTCTGCCCTTGCACTACAGAGACAAGGGCAGGGTGAGAGGCACTGCTGTGGGTCAACACCTTTGCATGAAGTCGTGCAGCTCTGGGTTCACCCTCTCAAGAATGGGCATCAGGTAGTTGAGAATGTGCTTGGTGCTGTCCATTGTCGGGTCCATGAAGTCTCTGAGAGCCACGTGTGGATAAAATGACACAAGAACAGACTGCTAGACAGATGCTGAGATCACCTATTAAGGTTAGCGTGGAGATAGGATGGTATAGCTAAAACTAAGCTAAGCCGGAATCGTCACCCTACTCCAGTTCATTATTTAATGTTAATAATGACTGGATTTATACCAGGGCGTTTGACAGATCTTAACATGCAATAAGTGCTTTACATCGCATCTCAAATATTTTGAAAGAGCAACTCTGTGGGCAGATATCACTGTCTGACACAAGGACACTCAGCAACTGGTCTGCAAACAGGCATTGGTCTGCCAGAAGGGGGTCGATGATTCCAAGGTGCAATTCCAGTTGAGTAAACCTACGGGAGTACTGGTGAAGTTCAGATATGCTCTAGCATTGTGCGTCGCCAACAGTCATACCCACCATGCTGGGATATTAGTATAAATAGTCAGGTTGTTATTATTATCATCATCATCATCACTGAGTCTCAACTCTTTTTAGGAGGGTCCCACTAGGTTTTTTCAGTTGGGGGCGATGTTGCTCCGTGTAATCCCATACCGGTTACACTTTTTGTTTGAAAAGCTATGGGATGAAACCAGAAAACCCAGACAAAACCTATGTGGCTTGGGCAATTTTTGGCACCGGTTCTGGCTGCCTTCCTGCTTGTCTGTGGGGTCCTGTGCTTTACTCTACAAAAATTGTGCATGTTAAATTATTGTAGCTTTAACTTTAGAGCTGGGGGAGAACATACAGAGAATAGCGCTCAAGCATGAAGTTGAAGCAAGGCTGCGAGTCGCAAGTGTTCCCACCACTGCGCAACTCTGCCAAACATTATCATGACCAGGCATTCCTCCATTTATTTTTCTGAACAAGACATTGACTGATCCTGTTATTATTATTATTCGCTATGAGGATGCCTGCTGCTTGTGTCTGGAGGCAGAGGCTACCGCAAGTGGTGCGTGGAGAGCTTGTCCACCATGGCGGTGGCCATGTGATCGCCCACCACCAGCAGGAAGGTGACCACGATGTCATGGTAGCCCTGGTAATAGTGCAGCTGCGGATTGCGGCGCAGAACGTGCAGAATAACGTCGATGAGCTGCTCTTGCAGCACGGCTCGCTGGTCGTCCTGCATTCCTACACCAGCCAGGGCACACACACACACACCCGTTGCTAAAAGAGCTCCAGGCAAGCCGGGGTTAGGGTGGCAGGGTGGCGCAATGGTAACACTCGTGCCTCACAGCAACACAAACCTGGGTTCGATTCCTGACTTGGAAACCTGTCTGTGTGGAGTTTGTACGTTCTCCCTCGATATCATCGGTTATTTCGGTAAAGTCACAAAGAAGGGAAATAATAAAATAATACAAATAAAACGTAATAAAAATTCTCACGATGTTTTGGCCACAACGCAAGCAGCCGTCCTCAGGTGAATATAAAATGTTCTCCCTCTGTTCTGCAATGTGTGTGAATGTATGCGTAAGTGTGTGACAGAGTGTGCGAGTATGGGTGTAAGAGTCTGTGAGTGTGTGTGTGAAAGAGTGCTCGAGCTCAAATATTAGCAGAAGTAGCCACCCCTTCTGAATGGTTGGCTGAGGTGCCATCTGTGGTGAAAGTGAGAGGGGCGATCCGAAGTCTGAGACCAGGAAAAGTGCTGGGCAGAGAATCTTACAAGTGAAATGCTGAGGGAGGGTGGCATCTGTGTGCAGCCTGCCCTACATAACATCATCACAACTGTCTGGACAACAAGACAGAATTTGAAGGATGCCCTGGTGGTCCCCCTCTTTAAGAAGGGGGACCGCACAGATTGTAGAAACTACAGGGGAATCTCTATTTTCAGTGTGCCAGGAAAGGTCATGGAAAGGATTATTCAACATCACCTTGCCAGGCACGCTGAGGAGAGGCTTGCGGAGCCCCAATGTGGTTTCAGACCAGGGCGGTCCTGCACAGATGCCATATTCTCTGTCCGTCTGCTACAGCAGAGGTGAAGGGAATTCAAAAAAGACCTACATCTCTGCTTTATTGACCTGGTCAAGGCCTATGATACCATCAACAGGCCAGGGCTGTGGGCAGGTCTTCATGCTTTCGCAGTCCCTGACTCTGCTCACAACCATTAAAGGCCTTCATCAGGATGGTGGGCAGGCCCGGGTAAAGCTTCGAGGCCAGGAGTTGGAGCCATTCCCTGTTCACCTTGAGATGCGACAGGGATGTCCTCTAGCTCCCACAATATTTAACATCATCTTTGATCACATAGTTCGAGAAGCTTTCCATGGCTGTACCGGAGGAATTTCCATCTGGTACAGATACAATGGGCAGCTGATCGATGCCCAGGTGTGGTCGAGGAATGGCTGCCTATTGGTTAACCGTGTTATGCATGCTGATGATCTGGTGATTCCTGCTCACTCAGAGGAGGAGTTGGAGGCGTTGCTGCTGAACCTGGAGTGTGTCACTAAGAGGTCGGGTCTTACCATCAGCCCCATCAAAACTAAACACCTGTCTGGTTTGTTTTGTACCACCAACACTCCACCCCTCAGCTTCCCATTGGTGATTGAGCAGTTGTGGAGAGTTTCCCATACCTGGGCAGTGTGCTTATGATCGGCTCTGGTTTGACAGCAGGGGTCTCACTCCGAATCAGTCGAGCGGCATTATCTTTTCATCGGTTATACAATGGTGTGTGGAAGCTACCTGGCCTGTCGCTCCGCACGAAGCTTTAGGTCTTCTCGGCCACAGTCATTCCCTCCCTTCTCTAAGCTTGCGAAATGTGGACCCCTCGGATGGAACATCTGCGGCGGTTTAAAACATTCAGGCTGGTATGCCTACAATCCATCCTGAACTTAACCAGGCTGGATTGTGGGGAGCTCACAAATCGTTGAAAGATCTGAACAAAGTCCCATTGATGAGCTCCTCCGGTAGGCAAGGCTGTGTTGGCTGGATCATGTAGCCTGCATGCCCAGCCACCGCAAGCCTAAACAGGTTTTGTTCAGCTGGATATAGCGGGCTAAACGGGTGTGGCACAGGCTAGATAAGAGATGGAGTGATGTAGTAGAATAGGATGTGGAGATGAGTGGACTTGCCGATGACTGATACCAGCGGTGTCAAGATCAGCCTCTGTGGAGGAGACTCGTGAAGGACAACAACGAGCAGAGCACCGGGCGGCTAAAGCACAGCAAGTTGACACAGTAGAGGGCACAGGTGGTGCATCGGCCAGTCATCTCAGTCAGTCGACCCATGGCACCTGGATCTGCTCTGTGACCTCCTGCCAGCAGGCATTCGACTCTTCACGTGGCCTCAACGTGCACATAGCCTGGCACAGGTGCCGTGGTGATGTCACCGCCACTTCGTGATGAATGGCAGTTTGTTGTGTGTTGTGTAAGCTGTATGTTTTATGTTGCACATATGGGGTGTGTGGTATATATTGGGTGTTGCATGTGGTGCATGTTACATGTTGTGTGTATTGTGTGGAGTATATGTTGTATCTGGTGTGTGGCTGTATGTTGTATATTGCGTATGGTAGGTGTTGTGTGTTGTGGCGGTAGTGCAATGGTTAGCGCACTGCGCTACAAACCCAGCGACCCACGTTCGATTCCCACTCAGGGCCAACATCAGTGACAATTATCTGAATTGGTCCTGGGCCTACCCTAGGTCGACTCAGCCTCAAATGAGTACCTGGTATGATGTGTAAACATCACCACTGGGGAGAAAAAGGTGGCCAGGCGTGGTGTCGGCCACCCAACCCCTCGTGTGCCATGCTGGCTTTCAAAGGTGCTCGCTCACAGCGCTTGCCCCAACAGTCTGTTAAGGCTATATGGGGGATCTTTGTCTTTGTGCTGTGGCGCATCCTTACCTGCAGGGAACCTGCGCAGAGACCTCCGCACGTCCAGCAAGACCTGGTTGTAGTCCTTGTTGTTCTCACGTAGGTCCTTGCCTGCCAGGAAGGACGCAAGCACATTTTTTTACAAATGATAACTCAAGCACAAGAGTTTGGGGCAGTGACCCGGCTCAGCACTAGCACATTCGTTGTTTATTGCAGAGGTTTGCGGTTTGATTCTGGCAGGCCACGCCGGTTATTACTGCAAGTGTATTAACCATAACATACTACTATGTACCATCTGCTTCACAGTGGACATTTGCGATCCCATGACGTCTTTCGAAAAGAGTAGGCCATTGCGTGCCAATCATGGTCTACATCTTCCAATTTTGAAAAAAACGACAATGAAAATTACTCAAGTGAGATTATACACAGCAACATTATACCCAACTGTGAAGCTACTGCAGACTATATGCAACGTAGCGCCTTCCTTCGTGATGGCTGAGCACTAGAAGAATGGCACAAATACAAAATGTTATGCATTATTATAGTGTCTTTGGACGCTGCAGACTCATAGCAAGTAATGTAGGGTAAACTGTGATTAACCATGAGAAGCCATTGCAAATGCAAAAATAAACCAAAACACATTTTAAAAAATTGACAGAATGATGAATCAAACTTTTTATACCGACTCCTATAGCACTCATGACAGACATGCGGTGTCTAACCCATCTGGCAAATACGTCTACAACCCTGCAGTATTGACAGCACACATGGACGCACAGAGGTACTGACACGTACCGGTGGCATAATGTGGACATGTGGGCAGACGTGGTCGCACGTGGACACGTGATGGCGTATGTGGGTATGTATTAGTGCGCGTGGGCATGTGTGGGCACGCGTGGGTATGTGTGGGCGTGCATGCATGGGAGCGGTAGTGTAGCGGTTAGCGCATTGTGCTACGAACCTGGAGACCCGAGGTCAATTCCCTCTCACGACCAACACCAGTGACGATTATCTGAACCGGTCCTGGGCATCCCCTAGGTCGAATCAGCCTAAAATGAGTACTTGGTGCGGTGTGTAAACAATGGCACTAGAGAGACAATGGCGGCCAGGTGTGGAGTTGGCTTCAAACCCCTTGTGAGCCATGCTGGCCTTGATAGGTGATCGCCAACAGCACTTTACCCACCAGTCTGCTAAGACTATACTGTATGGGGGATCTTTGTGTGGGGGCACCTGGTGTGGCTGGGGGGGGGGGGGCAGTGCGTGGGGTGTGTGGATGTTTGGTGGGGCACCTGGCGTGAGGGGCAATGCGTGGGCGTCGATGGAGAGCAGTTTGGGCCAAACGTCGCGACGCAGCTCGTTGGTGAGAAGGCCACCCTCGCTGATGGCCGAGCGGCGCAGGGCGGCCACGTCGACGGGCTCGCGCGCCAGAGCCTGACGCACTTCGGCCAACTTGCGGCGGCGCTTCGACTCGGCATCTGGAATCACGCAGCAGCAGCACTGACTGCCGACAAACTGCGGTGTTCCGCCACTCGTGGTCACAGTGACTGGGAATATAATAACTTAACATCCGACATTTCAATGTTGAACTTATGGCTTGTACATTAAATCCCTATGACCATCGGAAGGTACAAATATTATTATTACTATGCTGGCTTACCCGGTAGAGCCTCGCTTAACCTTAAGACGATTTTTCAGGAGGATCCTGCCAATTTGTTTTTCCTATTGGGGGGTGATGTTGCTTTTACGAAGATTGTATAGGTGAAAGCGGCAAGTGCGGGAAGTGGCAGAGATGTGATTGGAGAGGAAGAAGTTGAAGACGATACCGAGGTTGCGTGCAGAGAGAGGAGGGAGAAGGGAGGGAATGAGATGTCAGGAAAGGGTCGAGGGGCACCCGGCACAGGAATTGCGCAATCCTGTTGCCCAAGGGCGACATTATTTCATTTACAAATCAACAGAATAAAATCTCCTTCAACTCTATAACATTTATTTCAGTCTATAAAAGCGTACAAATACCAAAATCATCTCAAGGCGTCGTCATACAGCAGCGAAACAAAACCAGTGTTGGCCAAATTGCGCGTCAGTGCAACGCACTCGGCGCACTGTCGCTGGGTAATAGAAGCACGTTCACTAGGGGCTAACAATGCAAATAAAGTATGAATGGGTAAAAGATGGGGATGATGATGGTGTCATGGGAGTCATGACGATATGGGTGGTGGTGGTGATGATGGTGGCAATGATGGTGGTGGTGTGAGTGGGGGATGAGGTTGATTTTGAGGTGTGCCTGGCTCGTCGCTGACCGAGTTGAACTCAGAAAGTCTCCGAGTCTGGCTCAATGAGTTTCTGATTGAGTCTGGTCTAATGAGTATTTTGAGTGGCTCGGCGACTCTCCGAGTGGCTTTACGAACCTTGTGTCCTCACCGCCGGTGCGAGGCCCCGAGCGGCCCCGTTCTTCGTCTGTTTTGTGCTCATTGGAGGCGCGTCGAGTGCTGCCGAGGTTGGTGGTGAAGGGGTAGGAAGAGGGCTGGTGGGGGGTTGATGAGAGGGGGGTGAGAGGTTGTTGGAGGGAGAGCGGTGAGATGGCGTGGACAAGAGCGGTCGGGTCCGGCTCCGCGGCCCTCAAAACGGCTCTGGCGCCGCGGACCCGCTAGGCAAGACGTGGGCTCCGTCAAGGCCTGGGTGTCCCTGGCCTCATCGTGGGGCGCAGCTCCCAAGGGATCTGCAGCTGGCGGTGCCCGTGCAGAGAGAGCGCGCGCGAGGAGCTGCGGCGAAGAAGCGCAGCGGTAGCCGGGTGAGAGGAGAGTTCCCGGCCGCGTCCCCACCACCACCGCCACGACCGCCACTACCTCTCGGCACCGCCACTCGGCACAAATCGTGCGGGCCGCGCGCGTCACGTGACGCGACTGTGGCGAGGGGGAGTGGCGCGTAGCCCCGCCCCCCTCGCCTGACGCTTCCGCCGCGGTGACTCCCCATGAGTGCACGACCCACACGGCCACACCTACTACTGTGACATTATCATCGATTCGTTTAACACGTAGTAGGCTTTCGCGACCAAAATCATCCATAATAGAGTTTTTTTGGGTTAAATCGCGTAAATATATAAATGTGTCGATAAAACCCGGCACCACGCGACACAGCCTATTAGTAAAGGTTGTCACGTATGGATTATCACAACTTATTAACAACCGCCATTTAGCACGAAGTGGCGGTAACGTCACACTTGTACCACCATGCTTACTGCACTTTGAGGCCACGTGAAGTGTTGAAGACCTGCTGGGAGGTCACGGAAGAGATCCAGGTGTCATGGGTTGACTGGCAGATGCACCAACTGTGCTCCCCACTGTTCCAAATCTCTGAGCTTTAGCCACACCGCACTCCGCTCTTTGTTGTGAGCGTCGCTCCTCTGTCCTCCGTTGTTGCTGAAGGGCGACAGCCTCCAACTGCCCAGTAGCGTCCTTCACGAGCCTCCTCCACAGAGGCCGTTCTTGACACTGCTGGTACCAATCATCGGAAAGTCCAATCAGCCCCCAGATCCTTCTGTACCACGGCAATCCATCTCTTCTCCAGCCTGTGCCGGACCCATTTAGCCCCATCTATCCGGCCAAACAGAAGATTGGGAATGCGGTGGCTGGACATATGGGCTACATGACCCAGCCAACGCAGATCACTGATTGGGACTGTGTCCATCAGCGGCAAAAACACACAAACTTGGCACAGTAGGGGGCACAGGTGGTGCCAGTCATCTCTGTCAGTCAACCCATGGCACCTGGGTCTGTCCCGTGACCTGCCAGCGGGCTTTCGACACTTAACGTGGCCTTAAAGTGCACATAGCCTGGAACAAATAATGGTGGCGTCACCACTGAATGACTAATGGTGGCTGTTGTTGTGTCCAGATCTTTCAAGGATTAGTGAACTCCTCACACAATCCAGTGTGGTTAAAGCCAGGATGGATCGTAGGAAGGCTAGCCTGAATGTTTTAAACCAGCGCAGATTTTAATTTAGAGGGCTACACGTTTTGCAAGCACAGAGCAGGGAGGGTATAACTGTGGCCGAGAAGACCCGAAGATTTGTATGGAGCAACATGCCAGGTAGCTTCCACACAGTGTTACGTAACTGATGAAAAGATCATGCCGCTTGACTGATTCAGAGTGAGACATAGCCTGCCAAACCGGAGGTGATCATAAGCACACTGCCCAAGTATGGAAACTTCTCCATTCTCTCCATAACTGCCCCTTTTGTCGGCATAAAATACGGAGGCAGGTGCATCGTTTTTGTGGGGCTGATGGTAAGGCTCCATCGCTTTGTAGCATGCTCCAAATTCAGCAGTAGCATCTCTAACTCCTGAGAGTGAGCAGCAATCACTAGCTTATCCGCATACGTAATATTATTGACCAATAGAGAGCCATTCCTTGAACGCACCTAGGTATCGATCACCCTCCCATTGCATCTGTACCAGAGGGGAATTCCACCGGTACATCCATAGAAAGGTTCTCGAAACATAATTTATTTTAAGATAATTTATTGCTACTTATTTAACAGACTAGATCGCTTTATAGCGCCACCACGCACACCACACGATACTTATCCACCAGCTTTCCTCCCAGGTTTGCCACACGGTACACACTGAGTCTCGATACTTTTTTTTAAATACTCTTTTTCAACTACCGCATGCCTAGGCAGCTTTTGATTGGTTGGACATGTGTGAAAAAGAGCTTCATAGTTAATCGGATTGCTCCAGTCTAAATAAATATTATGATTCTGAGTTGGGTTAAATGGGCACAACACGGGCTAGAGAAGAGATGGCCTTGGTGTGGTACATAAGCATGTGGAGCTGCGTGCATTTGTCAATGACCGGTAACAGCGGTGTCAAATTCGGAAACTCGTGAAGGACGCTACTGGGCAGTTGGAGACAGTCGCCCTCCAGCAACAACAGAGGGCAGAGGAGCAACTCTCACAATAACAAGCGAAGCACCAGACAGTTGGTGCATCTGTCAGTCATCTTAGACAGTCAAACTATTGCACCTGGGTCTGTCCCATGACCTCCTGTCAGCGAGCCTCCGTGCTGGGTCCAATTGTGTTCTATTATTTAAAAAATGTTGGACTAAACTTAAATAACTCTGAATTAAATATCGCGTAAATCTCCTAACGAAGTCAAACAGAATTTACAATATTTCGGTTTACTGATTTATTTAAAACTTACATTCCAACCCAATATTGATAAGATCTCAAAGGAAATCAAATAAAAAATAGGGGTTTTATACCGAAATAAAAAAAATTCCCATTCCATTGCATCTGCAAATTGTTCAAGCGATAATTTTACTATCTTTTGACGACTGTGACATTGCTTGCAGACCAGCCGCTAATGAAACATTAAACAGACCAAACCGCTTTTATCATTGTGCTCTTCGATTTGCATTGGATGTACTATACAGAACCCACCATTTTGACCTCTACTTAAACTATCACGACAACTCCGGTCACCTCTGCAGAGGCTTTTGGCTAACCATCGAACAAAGACGGTCACCGCATCGTGTACTTTCAGATGTGCTTCTGCGACTGTCTGGAACGCTCTTCCTTCCAATATTAGGTAGCCACTGGAGCTATGCACCTGTAAATCCAGAATGAAACATAATTTCTTTAGAATAGCTTTTTATGTTAAGTTTGTTGTCCTTCCCTCGCACCTTCGATTAGCACGGTTGGCTGTGTACAGTGTGAAAGAAGTTCAACATACATACATAGAAAATGTAATCTCACATCACTTGATGCAAGACGAAATCTACTGTGGGCCCTGTTCATCCATAACACCCTAATTGACAAATTTGCACTATACAGTAAATCGTCGCTATGTGCAAGTTCTGGATTTGCGAGTTTCGCATATTCGCGAGTTACTAAATGTATACTAATTCCCTACTCACGACCCGCAGCACTCCAGTATTCGCGAGTGTACATAGTGCCAGACCACCGACACCGAGCAGAATTTTAAACAATATCGCTAGATAATTCAACGTTAGTCATGTTGATAACCGCTTTGTTTATAAAATGTTAATTTTTAGTTGAGAGTTGTTAGTTATCTTCTTGGTTCTGTCGGTAAAGTCACGTAGAAGGGAAATAATAAAATAAAATAAATAAACATAATAAAATTATTCTCACGACGTTTGGGCCATAACGCAAGCAGCCGTCCTCAGGTGAAGAACAGGTCTGTCGGAAAGACAGTGTCTGAATGAACACCACCAGGCTTGGCAGCGTATATTTAAGCTGGGTTGGAGGGGGAAGAGCGCCTTGACAAATGAATTTGCATATCAAGAGGAATTTAGCATATTTATGGGAAATGCAGATATGGAATTAGTCACTACTTGTGGAATGCGTAGGAGGTAGGCGGGGGGTTTCAAAGTCATATTATGCCCGTGCATTATGCAGGATTAGCAGCATTAAAGGGAGGGAGTAGGGTTAGCATTGATAAAGGGAAGGAATGTTAATAGTATGGAGCTGCAGCAGTTAAACCACCACGTAAAAAACTAAAATATAAACTACATCAGTATCATCAATATACTAAATATACTCTCCAATAAGCTGAGCTACTAACAGTAAGTCATACATTACAATTCTATGTCGCAAAAAATATAATATGCCTCCAGCTAAACTTTTTCCTCTTACATCACACGGGTCTACCCCGTACTATATACTGCCATAGACAAACCCAACATTAAATTACATATTGTATTACTATACACCACCCTATACCTTAGACCAGGGGTGGGCAAGCTTTTTCACTCGCGGGCCACAATGGGTTCTAAAATTTGACAGAGGGGCCGGGCCAGGAACAGATGGATGGAGTGTTTGTGTGAACTAATATAAATGACATGTAAAAATGATTACATGAAAGGATTTGGCCTTTAACAGGTAGCAAAGCATTTATTTGCAAGGCAATTTAACAAATTGCACGAACATGAACAATAAAAAAACATGTCGTAACGTGACTGATCAAATATCATGAAAACATCTGAGGCCTGCGCCCAAACCAATTACCTCACTTGAACTTCTTTATTATCTACATTAACAGGTTAGAGCAGCCACGCAGGCTGTGTTGCAGAGATTTGGCTCCAACCTCGCTGCAGCAACACATCATCAGTTTCAGTGGGAACAGTGCTGTTGATCTCCCATTTTTGCCAAGTCTGGAGTTATTTTGGTTGTGGCAATTCTCAGGATAGATCTGAGGTGCTGATCCGTTAACTTTGATCTGTGGACGGGCTTTGTTGGCGTTCATGACGCTGAATGTCTGCTCACACACATAAATCGAGCCAAACAAAGTCAGTATCTTCTGTACAGTCCTCCGGAGGTTTGGAAACGTGGCTCTGTTAAGTGAAGCATAAAAGTCATTCAGTTTAACAGAGTTGAACTTCTCCTTTAGGACGGAGTCAGACTGAAGATCTATCAGTTCCAACTGCAGCTCCTGTGGTGCTGTTTCAGGGTCTTGTGACAGGGGACAGGACACCAGCTGAAGTGACAGTTCAATGTTTTCAAAATCAGAGAACCTACGGCAGAATTCTCCGTGCAGGTCCTCAAGCGATTTGCTGTAGTTTTTTGCGTTTCGCGTTTCCTCTTCCTGCATGGCAAGTGTGGGGAAATGAGCGAAAGATTTGTTCGCAATTTGCCCGGAGAACAAAGTGAGCTTGGATTTGAATGCTTTCACATGTTCGTACATGTCGTGAACAAACTGATCTTTCCCCTGCAGTTTCACATTCAGCTCATTCATGTGTGAAAATATGTCCACAGCAAACGCAAAGTCACTAAGCCAGTTCTTGTCACTTAGCTCAGGGAATTCGTCAGATTTCCCCATCAACTCCAAAAATGCGATGATATCTTCTTTCAGCTCCCACACTCGTTATAACACTTTCCCCAAACTTAACCAGCGGACACGAGAGTGGTACAGCAAGTCCTGATGATCCGCATCAGTTTCCTCCAGGAACGTAATAAACTGACGGTGCTGAAGTCCCCTTGCTCGTATAAAGTTCACAAGTTTTACGACTGGATTCACGACATGATTAAGCTGCAATACAGACTTACACAGGGATTCCTGATGGATGATGCAGTGAAGGGAAATAAGATCCTGGACAGGGTTTTCCTCTTTCACTTAATCCTGGATTCTTTTCCGCAGCCCAACATTTTTTCCAGTTAAATTTGGCGATCCATCCGTTGTGACATTGACAAGTTTACTCCAAGGTAGCGTCATTCTTTCGATGACAGCAGATACCTGGTTATACAAGTCCTCTCCCCGCGTTGTTCCTTTCAGGGACTCCATGGTCAAAAACTCCTCTGTTATCGCAAAACTGTCGTCAATGCCTCGGATAAAAATTAGGAGCTGAGCAGTGTCTTTTACGTCCGTACTTTCATCCAGTGCTAGTGAATATAATGAAAAGGAATCAGACTTTTTGTTTAATTGACTGGCTATATTTTAAGCAATCAGTTCCACACGGCGAGTCACAGTCATGCGTGATAAACTGACTTTTTCAAATTTGCTTTTGATCTCCGGACACAAGATGTCTGCTGTCTGTACCATGCATTCTTTTACAAACTTGCCTTCGGAGAAAGTGGTAATGAGTGGTAATGTTGGTGAGAAGAAGGTTTTAAAGAAAATTTTAATCGAAGTGAAGAAGGAAATTATTGAAAAGTTTGTATAATTAATGATTTTTCAAACTTTAATTATGTTTTCTGTGCTTAAAACTCTTTAAAAAACTGTGGGGTCTAGAACGGACTCGTGAAATTCGGAGAGAACTCGGAGTTAAGTTTTGTTTGTTTTGTTGAATTACACAAAGCGTAACAGTTATGTATATAACTTTTGTTATATAAAATTCCTAGTAAGATATTAATTTTGCGATGTAGTCATACCCCTCCCCCTCATTCAAGCCGTAATATAGAGAGCGAAAGTGCCGAGAACGTAAATCGCTAACATAAGAACCCGTTAATCTCTTCTCGCATCATTCATACGATGATGCGGTGAAGTTAACGTTCATACGATATTACAGTAAATGCTTCCAAAAACAATACTGTACCCAAATATTACTGTTAACTTACTTTCTATAGGAACATGAATTGCTCATACGAATATCCTCTCTCTCTCCCGGTAAAAGTGCGCTAACTATTGGGGAAATGGGTGCATTACAGGAGGAAGGCAAAATTGTATTTAATAATATTTGGACAAGTTCGGCGGGCCGGATTAAAAAGCCCAACGGGCCGTACTTTGCCCATGTTTGCCTTAGACTATACATTGTAATATTACACTATGTATTATTCTACCCACCTTACTGTATACCACACTGCTGTATATTCACTATACAATTACGATACTATATATTACCTTATACATTATATTAAACATTACACTTTTATACTCACACTCAGGCGGGGCCTGAGTGTGAGGGGCGGGGCTTGAGTGTGAGGGGCGGAGCCTGAGTGTGAGGGGCGGGGCTTACGTATGAGGGGCGGGGCCTGAGTGTGAGGGGCGGGGCTTGCGTATGAGGGGCGGGGCCTGAGTGTGAGGGGCGGGGCTTGCGTATGAGGGGCGGAGCCTGAGTGTGAGGGGCGGGGCTTGCGTATGAGGGGCGGGGCTTGAGTGGGAGGGGAGGGGCCTGAGTGTGAGGGGCGGGGCTTGAGTGTGAGGGGCGGGGCCTGAGTGTGAGGGGCGGGGCTTGAGTATGAGGGGCGGAGCCTGAGTGTGAGGGGCGGGGCCTGAGTGTGAGGGGCGGGGCTTGAGTATGAGGGGCGGAGCCTGAGTGTGAGGGGCGGAGCCTGAGTGTGAGGGGCGGGGCTTGAGTGGTAGGGGCGGGGCCTGAGTGTGAGGGGCGGGGCTTGCGTATGAGGGGCGGGGCCTGAGCGTGAGGGACGGGGCCTGGGTGTGAGGGGCGGGCTTGAGCGTGAGGGGCGGGGCCTGGGTGTGAGGGGCGGGGCTTCGAGGGTTGAGAGACGTGAGGGGGGGAAGTGCGGCGCCTACGAGGCAGCAGCAGTCAGCAAGTTGGTGGTGGTTGAGGGTTGAGTCAACTTGGCTCCTTTGTCGCTCTCGCCGCGCTTGCCTTGTGCCTCCAGGTGCCAGGAGTTGTTCGTTACCGCTGAAGCGAGGAGGAGCAGAGGGAGGACAATGAAGGGCTCGTCCACTCCCGACAAACCCCAGGCGACGGAGGGCGACGGCGCGCCCCCTCCGCGAGCTCGCGGCGCCAGGAGGCGCTGCGCCAGCTCGAGCGGCCCCGGCGCGAGTCCGGCGGGAGAAGCGCCGCGCGGACTCCGGGACAACAAGCAGGAGGAGGGCGGCGGCGGCAGCCTGAAGTAAGTGGCGCTCACCCGGGGGAGGGTGGACGCAGCGGGGCAGTGTGCGGGGCTGTGTCCTTGGGCAGCAGCGCCTGCCCACAGAGGGAACCCATGCGATACGAAGAAGGGGTGGCGCTCGGAGCGAAGCACCGGTTGATTCAAGAGTCCAGAGCTGTTACTGCCATCTCCTGGCCTCCTCGTAGTCGCACACCTTCACGTGCCATTATTCCCAGCCTGCAGCGAGCGGTCAGCAGGCGTCAACCCGCTGAGCTTCCACATGGCGTGGGCGCGGAGTAGGTGAAAGGTGAGAAGCAACTCTGGCAAATAGAAAGTTTTCCGCCTGTGGATCGACTTGGTTTCTGCCATGGCAATGTGGAATGGTCACCAATAGCACCATTGGTTGCGTGAGACACGTGGTGAGGCCCACGGCACGAGGAGACCAGATTTGTGCGTAAATGAAGGTCAGGAGGTCGTCCCGGGCCAGTGACGCCAAACTCCCGCACCCCCCAGTCTCGCCATGGCCACCAGAGTTGTAAACATCAGTTTTATTTCACATTACCAAGTAATGGGAAATACTTGTTTCCTCCTATAGACACGTTTATGAACAGGTAGATGTTTGTACAATTGACCACGCCAATCGGTGCGTTCATTCGTAATTCCAACCGAAGACGATTCCAAGTTCGTGACTTTCAAAATCAATTATTCTGACAACGGTTACCGGTTTTTCGATTATCGTTTAACTGTAATGCTCCACGCAAGCAATTCGATGCTGTATATCACGAGCTTGGTTGTCATCCAGTGCTGGAGAGGCAGCAGCGAGAATTGGTGGATCGCAAAGATCTTGTGACAACCCCTTCACGTCGGTGTTTCGGAAGTGTCATTCGCTGGCTCGCCAGGAGACGGTGGTGCAGCAAGTTGGCTAATAGCCATCTGTTTCCGTCTGTACGGGGATATAACTGTTGCCCCCTCTCACACGTGGGTTTTCTCTAGGTGCTCTGGTTTCCTCCCACTTGCATAAACAGATTAATTGGGGCTAAAATAAAAAAAATAACACTGTAACAGGATCCTCCTGAGAAATAGTCCTAGCACATCGTGTGGTTCTCCTTGACGAATAAGTAAATTTACAAAATGTATGAAGAAGCGTGACTATGATGGTGACTGATGTTAAACGTCTAGTGAGCACTAAGAGGATAACTTCTGCTTATAGGCCTGCCGCTTGCCTCCTGCACACCACCTCTGCCCAACAGCACCGATCATAGTGTCCCCACTTGGAAGGCTCTTACACTGTTCTTAGCTGTGCAGCAGCAGAGTGGCTCAGTGGCAGCACTTGTGCATCACAGCAACAAGCCCCTTCGTTCATAATCATGATGTCAACTTGTAACGCGCTGCCGAATGGTATTCGTCCACTTGCAAAGAGAGAGGATGACTCGGTGGCACGAGGAGGAACCACACACAAGCGGGAAAACAGCAGCAGTGATGCAGTGAGCCAGTGCAAACAATTGCCCAAGCTCTGTGGTCCTCTATTATAAATAATTATAAGCTAATTAATGAGTGTTTCTATGTGGAAGGAAACCAGAGCACCCAGAGAAAACCAGTGACATTGTATTTATTCTTTGGTTCTTTCGGTAAAGTCACGTATAAAGATAAAATAATAAATTAAATAATAGCATACTACGACGTTTCGATTGCAACACAAGCAATCATCATCAGGTATAAAAGAAATAGCAACACAAATCTAACCAGAAAACTATAGACAGACATATAAGCAGACAGACATCATAAAGATACACAGAGAGAGAACACGTATCGGCACAAAGAGAGAGGTCGTCTGTGACGGGGCCTTAAATATAGAAAGGGGGCGGGGGCGGAGAGAGGGAGGGGGCAAAGAAAAAATTAGCATGTCAATGAGTGGACAACGACGTGGTACGGTACGCAAGCTTGAAAATTAGGAGAAAGACACACTAAAATTAAATAACCTAGTAAAATATCGAAATGAAATGAAATGCAACACAGAGAGTCGGTCAACACACAATTAACGCATAGCCCGGTTGATTACTTATTTCAAAGATTGCTAAGTTAGAATTTAAGTGTGAAAATTCCAAAGAGAGGACACAGGCACACACTTAAATTCTAACTTAGCAATCTTTGAAATACGTAATCAACCGGGCTATGCGTTAATTGTGTGTTGACCGACTCTCTGTGTTGCATTACATTACATTTCGATATTTTACTAGGTTATTTAATTTTAGTGTGTCTTTCTCCTAATTTTCAAGCTTGCGTACCGTACCACGTCGTTGTCCACTCATTGACATGCAAATTTTTTCTCTGCCCCCTCCCCCTCTCTATATTTAAGGCCCCGTCACAGAGACGACCTCTCTCTTTGTGCCGATACGTGTTCTCTCTCTGTGTATCTTTATGATGTCTGTCTGCTTATATGTCTGTCTATAGTTTTCTGGTTAGATTGTTGTTGCTATTTCTTTTAAACCTGATGATGATTGCTTGTGTTGCAATCGAAACGTCGTAGTATGCTATTATTTAATTTATTATTTTATCTTTATACGTGACTTTACCGAAAGAACCAAAGAATAATTCCTGCAGTCACGAAAGCTCCAAAATTAAGATTCACATTGTATTTTTTCAGCTATGGAAGGAAACCATTTGACCTGGAGGGAAACCCATGCAGAACAGGATGAGAAGATACAAACTACACACACAAAGATGCCCGAGTTGTAAATCGAACCCTCACCCTTCTTGCTGGGAGGCACGAGTGTTAACCACTGCACTGCCACCCTTCTGCACCTGAAACGAATGCGTTTCGTAATCCCGGGAGATTTGGAATTTGGACCGTGGTGGTGGCTCACAGTTGTGTGGTCTGGTGAGTGATGTCATAGCACAGCTGATAGCGTCTGCTTGCAGCAGCCAGTGCACACTGTAGCAATGAGGCTTTTAGAAAGTCACCGAGAGACCGCGGAAATGGCATCATTGACTTTGTGTGAACGAGCGAGTTGCACTCGCAATATGACTCCCCACTACTTGAAAATACATCTGTGTTGATAGTACTAAAAACTAAACTATGTTTATTTTCCCAGGTAAGGCCCACTGGGCTATATAACTATTTTTCAGAAGCGACCTGGCCACAAATGATAGCTCAACGAAGTGGCTTATTACGTGGACATTTCTTGCAGCCAAATACTCTAAACGCATGTTTCTAAATGTGGAGGGAAGAACCGGAGGACTCGGACAAAAATCCACACGACCACTTGGAGAACATGCAAAACTCTAAATATACAGGCGTCAGGGTCGGGATCGAAATCACGACCTCCGTATACCAGGCGAGGTAGTTAACATCTTGCCACCATGGCACCTCTGTCGCCACTTTGAGTACTCTTAGCCACCTGACACAGCCAAAGGATTTGCCACGGTGTGCAAGCGCTTAATGCACCTATTGTTATTGTTTCAGCTCGCTCACCAAATGTAGGTTTCATTGGATTCGCGAGGTTATATTGGAGACGACGACAAACATGTGGACAAGATCCAGGAAGTCAGAATACAAATCCAGGACTTCCTGGGTTGTTGTTTGGTTGAGGATTGTAAGGATTGTTCTTCAGCTCACCGGTTTGACACTCGTTTAAGTAACAATTCAGTTATTGTTCTGTGTCAGGTGGTGGAGGGTCTTAACTACACAGATTTGGTCAGATCATTACATGGCTTCATCCAATAATATATGTTAAATCCAAAAGCACAAAGCCTACCTTTGATTTGCTTTAACGTCTAGATTTTATTCATAACGGCTTAGGATTCATGAATATTCCTTTTATTGGAGACTGGAGACAAGGGTTAAATGATAAGATTTACATTTCCACATGTTCATTTATTTATCTGAACATGGTATGAGCGTAGAGAGTTGTGTCTCTGCATGAGACTACATCTGTATCGGCTATGTCGCTGCTCTTGCCACATTGCAGGCGGTTCTCGTGTCGTGCTGATCTCAACGGCTGCACTCGGCATCCTGCTGCAACCTGGCACTGTTTTATTCTGGCTGTCTTTTTGCGATGAAGTCATATGTTGTTGTTTGTTAACTTGGTAGGTTTTCATAGCCAGTACTCTGGTCCATTTTGGCTTTGGCTGTGTAGTTTATGCCAATCGTTTTGTCATTAACCCATCACCAGCTGACAGGATTGAGTCGATCAGTCACCATCAACCAAAGGTCTGAAGTTTGATTAAATTTGGCAGGAACGTCGTTGCCATAGAGATATACGATTTCCTTAAGTTTCGCGTCTCGAGGTCAAACGGTTTTTATTTGAGAGGTCACTAAATATTTACCTCATATGGCTCCCAGATGAGACCAATGGCAGGAAAATTACTAATAGCATTTTTTTTCATGATGCCACAGTAAACAGTAAAATACTAATGGAAAACTCTGTATGTTCTATATACAAATATGTAATTTATTTTAACGTTCATTGTAAGGCATAATGTTGGTCTTTGATATTCTGCTATATCCTGTAAAAAGGTAATCTATTAAAATATTTTACCTTTTCATAAACAAACTTAACATGTATACTTGTGTCAAGATGTTCTGCGATAAAACTAGCACTGCCTTGCAATGCAAAGACAAACTATCTTGTCTGATCTCAGCATGGTAATAAATAAATAAAATATCCATGCCAATCATCCATGGAACGTTTCAATGAGTACACTGCTTTGCGATATTTGGCTAATTCCATTATTGAAAGTTTGCATGTGGGAGGAACTGGAGAAAACCCGCACAGATGAGGGTTGGCACTCAATGCGTCGCACAGAATGATTAAGGAATCTATTTCTGTACTGCCATTTCCTGGCCACCTCCAGCACCAATCCTCCTAACACCTGGTATTCCAGACAAATCCCCCTTGCAATCACTAAACAGGCTCTAACTGCTTAGCTTCCCTTTAGGCCGACTATTTAGTTTGCTGGTAAAACCGCTTAAAGTAGCAATGTGAGGTGAGCTGCCATTTAGGCCAAGTCTATACAAGAAG